AATGCCAATTAAGTCCAGATAATTATTTAGTGTATCCATGTCCTTACCATTTTCTGCTTGGTAGATCTGTTACTGAGGTGTTGGTGTCTCCAACTATAATAGTAAATTTGTCCATTTTTCCTTGCCAGTCTATCACATTTCCCTCACATATTTTGATACTTTTGTGTTAGATGGATACATATTAAGGATTGCTATGCTTTCTTAAATGAATTGGGCCCTTTACTGTTGTATAATGACCCCATTTTTTAAAATCAAATCATAGCTGTGTACATTAATGCAATCATGGGGTACAATGTGCCGGTTTCATATACAGTTTGAAATATTTTCAGCAAACTGGTTAACATAGCTTTCATGGCATTTTCTTAGTTACTGTGTTAAGATGTTTATATTCTACACCTAGTAAACTTCACGTGTACCCTTGTAAGATTCACCGTAGGTGTGGTCACACCAACAACGCCCCTTCCACCTATCCTCCCCCCTCTCCTCCCCTCCCTCTACCCTTTCTCCTTCTTCTTGGGCTATAATTGGGTTATAGCTTTCATAAGAAAGCTATAAATTGGTTTCATAGTAAGACTGAGTACGTTGGATACTTTTTCTTCCATTCTTCAGATACTTTGCTAAGAGGATTTGTTCCAGCTCCATCCATGTAAACATGTAAGAGGTAAAGTCTATATTTTTCTAAAGCTGCATAATCCATGGTGTACATATACCAAAATGTATTAATCCATTCATGGGTCGATGGGCACTTGGGCTTCTTCCATGACTCAGCAATTAAAAATTGGGTGCAAATATCATTCTTATAACGTGAATTTGATGTTCTGAATATATACCTAATAGAGGAATTGTAGGAATGAATGACAGGTCTATTTTTAGATCTCTAATTGCTCTACAAACATCTTTCCAAAAGGAACATATTAGTTTGAATTCCCACCAGCAGTGTAGGAGTGTTCTCTTTTCTCTATATCCATACCAACATCTCTGGTTTTGGGATTTTGTGATGTGGGCTAATCTTACTGGAATTAGATGATATCTCAAAGTGGTTTTGATTTGTATATCTCTGATGATTAAGGATGATGAACATTTTTCATATATTCGGCCATGCGCCCGTCCTCTTCAGAGAAGTTTCTCTTCAAGTCCCTTGGCCACCCTGAGATGGGATCATTTGTTCTTTTCATGCTAATACATTTGAGTCTCTCTGGATTCTGGTTATTAAAACTTTGTTGGGGACATAACCTGCAAATATCTTCTCCCATTCTGAGGGCTGTCTGCTTGCTCTACTGTGTTCTTGGTTGTGCAGAAGCTTTTTAGTTTGATCAGGTCCCCGTAATGTATTTTTGGTGTTGCTTCAATTGCCCTGGGGGTCCTCCTCATAAAATATTCACCCAGGCCAATTTCTTCAAGTGTTTTCCCTGCACTTTCTTCTAGTACTTTTACAGTTTCATGCCTTAGGTTTAAATCTGTTATCCAGTGACAGTCTATTTTAGTTAATGATAAAAGGTGTGGGTCCAGTTTCAGTCTTCTACATGTCGCCAGCCAGTTCGCCCAGCACCATTTGTTAAATAAGGACTCTTTTCCCCACTCAATGTTTTTAATTGGCTTGTCAAAGATCAGGTAACGGTAAGTAGCTGGTTTCATCTCTTGGTTCTGTATTCTGTTCCATACGTTTACCTCTCTGTTTTGGTGCCAGTACCATGCTGTTTTGATCACTATCGATTCATAGTATTGTCTGAGGTCTCACAGCGTGATTACTCCTGCTTTGTTTTCATTTCTGAGTACTGTCTTGGCTATTCAAGGTTCTTTTCTGATTCCATATAAAATGAAGTATTCTTTTTTTGAGATCCTTAAAGTATGACAGTGGAACTTTAATAGGGATTGCATTAAAATTATATATTGCTTTGGGTAGTATGGACATTTTAACAATGTTGATTCTTTCTAGCCATGAGCATGGTATGTTTTTCCATTTGTTAATATCTTCAGCTATTTCTTTTCTTAGAGTGTCATAGTTCTCTTTATAGAGATCTTTCATATCAATTTGTTAGGTAAACTCCCCCAAATTTCATCTTCTTTGGCACTATTGTGAATGGAATGGAGTCCTTGACTGTTTTCTCAGCTTGGCTACTGTTGGAATTTGATCAAAAGTTTATGAGTGAGTTTACTTTTGTGGTGGAGGATTGCACTGGTCATTATGGAGGATAGGTCAAAAAATATCCTGGAGAACTGGTTTAGCTATGGCAAATTCTTCAACATATAAATGTCATTAAAGTATATAATTTCTCCATCATAAATAAAACTCAGTTTGGCTGGATATAGGATCCTGGGTTAAAAATTCTTTGTTTTAGGAGATTAAAAGTCGATGACCACCCCCTTCTTGCTTGAAATATTTCAGCAGAGAGATATGCAGTCATTGTAATATTCTTCCCCTTGTAGTTTATGATTTTCTTATGTCTGGCTGCTCGCAGAATTTTCTCCTTCATTTCAACTTTGGTGAAGTTCATTATAATGTACCTAGGAGATGTCTTATTTGAGTTGAGTTGTGCTTGGGTTCTGAAACTGTCTATCTGAATTTTAGAATCTCTTGGTGTGTCTGGGAAGTTCTCCTTCATTATCTGATGAAGTAGAGCATCTGTGCCTTTCAAAGCCACCTCATCACCTTTAGGAATTCCTTTCAAATTGTCCCAGAGCTCTCTGAGAGAATGATCCATTTTTGCTCTCCACTTCTCTTCTTTTTGCATTTGAGAATGTTCAAAAGCTTTGTCTTCAATGTTAGAAATCCTTTTTTTACTGAGGGACTCTACTGTATTTCTCATATTTTTGAGGGCTGCAAGTTCTTGTCTTAATGTGTCAAAATCTTTGGTGATTTTGTTTCTGAACTCATTGAATTCTTGAGACAACTTCTGAAATGTTCCTTGAATTTCTAATTCCAACTTTACCTCCATTCTATTAATCTTATTTGCTATCCAAATTCTGAATTTGATTTCTGGCATCTCAGCCATTTGTTTATAAATGCAATCTTCTGTTGTGTCCACCATGTTGTTCCTTGGGGGAGTTGATCTACCCTGGTTATTCATGCTACCAGAGTTTTCCACTGATTCTGCTCCATGCTTATTTTACACTGTTTGGCTAGATGAGCATATAAGTTGAAGTTGGGTTGGAGGCTCCTAGAGTAGTGATTAACCAGCCCTTTCCCAAGAGCTGGGCCTGGTGTCTATACCTTTTCCCCTAGAGTTTTGCAAAGGACCCCTACAGTGCTACAGCCTGAGACACTGGGGACTTCCTTAGTGTGGTGGGGCTAAGTGTCTCTGTCTTGCTTTCAGCTGGTCTCTGTCCCACCCTAGTGACAATTACTCTGAGTTGAAGTCTCAGCTGTGGAGAAATACCAGCAATTAAGTCACCCTGTCCCCCATGGGCAACAACTGGAAAAGGAAAATCAAACCTTCCCACAACCACACACCCAGGGTACCACTTTGGATAGTCTTCGGGTGATTGGCCCAGTTCCAGAGATCCAAATCATTTGTCCCAGTCAGCACCCAGTCTCAGGTGGAAGAGTTCAAAATATCTCTGGTGACTAGATAGCAGGGGTCTGCTGGAAGCTTGATTATGGCTCACTCCAGTGCTCTGTGGAGTCAGAAGGACCCACCCAGCAAATGAATTAGTCTGGGAAGGTTCATGCCTCCTTCCCCACCATGCACCTCTGTCACACCCAGTCACTGGTAACCCACGGGGCTGTAACCCAGTTCCCTCCAATGAGCAGATACTCCAGGGTTTTGCACCTGCCTGAGTTACAGGGAGAGTTATGTCTTCTCGGCCAGGCTGCCACTCTCTGCCACCATCCAGCAGAGGGAGATGAGGCCTGACAATCTCAGGTGCTTAATGGAAGCTGGGGTGGTTCACTCAGTTCCAGCCTCGCCCCAGATTGATGTTGCTTACACTTATATTTTCATAGAATTTGTTTCTGTCCCAGCTATATTCCCCTGTGGACCAGGCACTATTTGAGTTCACAGAAACTGTGACTCAGCCCCAATCTGTCCTGATGCCCAGAGCTGGTGTGTCTGTCTCTGCTGCTGTGTTGGAGTGAGCTCAGTTAGAGTTCATACTCAGTTCTCAGTTCCAGCCTCTGCCCATCTGCTTTTGTCTTAGCTATCATCCCAGGGGGGCCGGGTGCTTCTTAGGCTCACTAAAGCAGTCCTTCTGACTCAGCCCCACCAGGGGAGTATGCTGTCTCTGCCCCTGGGTATTCTAGTCTCTTTTCCCACCCTGTCCCTTGCAGACAGTTACCGTCTGCCTCTGGCATACCCTTTACTTCCATCCCAAACAGGGCCTGCTTCCATCCCAAATCTGTTGTACTAGTGGCTGCCAACAGAGAAGATGCCTGGCTATCTCTGATTGCCCAGAGAGGCAGGGAGTGTCTCTCCAAAATATCCCCAGGAGTGTGAGCCCTATTGTTCCTACCATGGCCACTGTTGCTCTATGCTGTGGGCCACTGCCTCTTCCTCTCCTGTATGGTTCCCTCAGTTCGCCATCTTCTTACTCCTGTGCCACAGAATCAGCACAGACCTGTAACAGCCCATGCCCTGTCCATATCTCTGAAGAAAATGCCCAAGAATCCGGAGTCCATGGGGGATAGGCTTCCAGACCCTGGGGTGAGAGTGGAAGGAAGTGGTGGGAGTTCAGAATTGCAGATAGAGAATATATACAATTTTATACAGTTTTATACCTGGTGGGAGAGTGACATGGCACACTGCAGGTCCTCTCTGGGGAAGGAGTTCTTGTTTTTAGAGGGTCTCTCCCACGGGATAAAATAGGAGGATATCTAAACTCTGCTCACTTGTTTGTAGAAAGTACATTCTTATGGGAGAGGGGAATCCCATCTGCTTGGCGATGGATTTTATACCTATTGTTTGTTTTCTTGGGGTTGCAGATCGCCTCAGAAGGTAGATGTGCATTCTTCAACCTTTTCTCTTGGCTCAGCTCCAGACCATCAGCTTACTTGCCAAGCTTCTAAAAATATGGAACAGTTCTTTGAGTGTCATCCTTATGCAGCGGCCATACTAATCTTCTTTGTATCGTTTCAATTTTAGTATATGTGATGCCAAAGCAATCACCCCATTTTTTGATAACATTTTCCTTGCTCTGAAGTCTGCTTTCTTTGACATAAATATATTTAATTCAGATTTCTTTTGATTTGTGTTTGGATGGCATATCTTTCTCTACTCCTTCAGTATCTGTGCCTTTTTATTTATAATCACATTTTTGTAGACCACTTATGGTTGGTTCCTGTTATTTAATCTATGCTGACAGCCTCTTTTAATTGATGTTTTTCAATGATTGACAATTAGAGTGACTATTGGTATAGTTGTATTAATCCTACCATATTTGTCAATATTTTTCATTCACTGGCTTTGTTTTATTCCTTTCCTCCATTCCTTCTCTTCCTCCTTCCCTCCTTCCCCACTCCCTCCATCCCTCTTCCTTCCTGCTTTTCTTTTCAGATTGCTTGTGTGTGTTCTACTTTTTTTTTTTTCTTTTTTTGGCTTCTTCTGATTTTAATAAAGCATTTTATGTGATTCCATCTCTCTCATCTGTTAGCATATCTATTACATTTCTTTTTTACTATTTTAATAGTTTCCCCAATTTGCAGTATATGTTTACAGACAATTTCAACCCACTTTCAAATAACACTAAACTACTTCATGGGTAATTAGATTACTTTATATCAGAGTATTCCCTGTTTTTCTTTCTTATAGCATTACTGTCATTCATTTCACTTATTAAAAAGCCACAATTACTGAATACATTGATTTTATTATTCTGAACAAAGTGTTACCTGTAGATCAATTAATAATAGGAAAAATAAATGATTCTATTCCACAATCACTTATTTCTGCTTTATTGTTCTTCCTTTCTTTACGTAGATTCTAGTTTCCGACCTATATCATTTTTCTTCTTTTTGAAGAACTCTATAACATTTTATTCAAGACAGATTTACAGGCAACAAATTCCCATAGTTGTTATTTTTCTGAGAGAGTTTTTATTTCTATTTTACCCTTTGAAGGATAATTTTGCTGGATACAGAATTCTGTTTTATTTTTTCTTTTCTTCCAACACCGTAAGTATGTTGCTCTATCATGTCTTGCTCCCATGTTTTCTGAGAAACTGAATGTAATTATCATCTTTGGTGTCCAGTAAGCTGGGATTTTTCCACTAACTTAATTAATTTTTATTTTTCTTTAATTTGAATATGATATTACTAAGAATAGTTTGTATTTATCTTACTTGGTGTTCTATGATTCATTTCAGAAAATTCCCTGCCATTATTACTTCAATTATTTCCTCTGTGTTTTTTTTCCCTCCCTTCTTTTCTGATATTTTCACTACACTCATATACCAATTTTTTTATCCAAGTTATGAAGTACTTTGTTTCATACTTTTCATTCTTGTTTTCTCTTTTCATTTTAGTGATGGAATTTCCATTAACACTATGTTTTCTCACTCATATTCCACTGCTGAGCCTATCAAATTTCTGGTATAGGCCTTCTATTTCTAATATTTTCTTTTGATTCTTCTTTAGAGTTTTTATTTCTCTGCTTTCAGTACCCATATATTCACACATACTGTTAGACTCTGTCTACTTTTTCTATCGCAATCCTTATAATAGGAATTGTAGTTGTTTTAAATTCCCATTCTGATAATTTTAACATCTCTGCCATATATGGATTTTCTTTTTCTGCTTAGATGTCCTTTCAAGACTCTTTTTTATTTTTTATGTATCTGGTAATGTTTGGTGAAAACTGGACATAATATACCAGTTAAAAGGAACTGGGGTATACATGTCTTTAGCATATGGTTTTTACATTTATCTGGTTAAGAGTTAGGTTGTATTAACTGCTGTAGCTGTAGTATCTGAAGCTAAAATCTTCTCTGATGCCCTTGTTGTTGTTTTCTCAATGGTTTATGGTGCTTTCTAGAAAATCTTAAATGTCTTTTTTATTATTATTAAATCATAGCTGTGTATATTAATGCAGTCATGGGTTACAGTGTGCTGGTTCTATATACAATCTGAAATATTTTCATCAAACTGGGTAACATAGCCTCATGTCATTTTCTTATTGTGTTAAGACATTTATATTCTACATTTAGAAAGATTCACATGTACCCTTGTAAGATGAACCATAGGCGTGGTCCCAACAATCACCCTCCCTCTCCCCATCCTCTCCCCTCCCATCCCCTCCCTAACCCCTTTCCCCATATTGATAATCTTAAATGTTGACTGAGATTTTCAGTTTTTCAGTCATATCCCCTGGTATTCTCCAGGAGCCTCTTTTAGGGGGTTATAAGATGTTGGGGAAGAGGAAGTCTTATGATTATGTCTTATTGTTTTATTGAGCTTATTTCTGTGGTCTGTGACTTTCAAAAATGCTTCTCACTTTTTTTTTCTTTTGTTTTTCCTGAGGAAGAAAGGCAATTGAACTTTTCCCATTTGGAGTACTAGAGCAGGCGACATTTGTGTATTCCCTTCACAAAAGTTGCTTAATCTCTGGTGAAAGACCAGTTCATTTGTTAGGCTCTGGTAAAATGGTTTTCCTTATGGGCAGGTTTTGTTGAGGAAACAGAATGTTCTGAAACCATATAAAAATTGCTACTTTTTCCTATGCTCTGCTGGTAATACAAAAATTTTTTCAGTCATCTTCACTGTGAGAACCTGCAAGGGCTTTTAAAAGTAAACTTCAGGAAAGCACAGAGGGCCTCTCTGTTACGGTGGAGAGCTAGCGCATCCCTAAAACAGTTTTAGTTTAAGATACTAGAAGATTCACATGCATTTGTAATAAAAACTGCAGAAATATATTGTATACTTTTCCTGATTTCCTTCAGTTAACATCTTGCAGATCTGTAGTACAATATCACTACTAGGATATTGGCATTGATACAATCTACTGATCATGTTCAGATCCTCCAGTTTAGTTCTATGGAATTTTACTGCATGTATAAGTTAGCATATCTATCATGTTAGTCAACATAACATCATTTCCAACACTACAAGAATTCCTTCTGTTGCCTTTTCTAACAACACCCATGTTCCTACTCTTAACTCTTGGAAACTATGAACTAGTTTTCATTACCACATTTTTTGATACACTGAACTTTTATTTTATATCCAAGTGAAACAATATTAGAATAATGGTAAGCAAATTATCTTTTTATACCATAATTTTATAGATCACAAAGTGAAATTTTATTATACATGTTTTTTTCTGTGTAATATGTAAAAGAGGGATACCTACTTCAAATTGAGAGTTAGTCTTACTAGTCAAATCTCCTGAGTTACAATTCCTAAGATTAAAGTCAGCTGACACCACTTATTTTCATGGAATTTATTCTGCTTTCACTGAATATAGAATTTTAATGGTCAGAGAAAATAGTAGCTAATGTGCAAATGGTCCCTCTCTATGTGGTTAATAGCAGAATCTCCTTATTACACAAACAGGAGGCTACATTCTCTCTTTAAAAATGGATGAAGATGAGAGTGTTTAGGAGTAAGTGGTTTTAAACCTGAAGTACTCAGAGGACAGCAAGATAAAGATGGGATATGGTGAGAGGCCACAATCTATTGGTATTTTCTCTACTAGAATTTCAATTTATTATTATACATAAAATGTAATATTATTATGTAAAATTATTATTTTTTAATTTCATGTGAGACTATTTTTTCTCCTAATTTAGCTTATATGTTTGTATTATTAAAATGTGTTTTAATTGGTTACCTTAATCATAGCTACTAAACTAGTTTTCTACAGCATTTTGCCAAGAAAAGTCTTAATGATCCCATGCATGGATTTAGTGCTAAATTGATCTTTGTATTGACTATCTACCTTACTTTTTAATTATACAGAGCTCCAATTAAAATATGAAAAACAGTGTGAAAGCAGGGAAGAATCAGGTTTGTCAAAATATGCAGATCAGATGAATGCACCTTATTTAGGACATCTTTCCTTATTTTTGCACCTGTATTTTGCACATATACAGTTATATGTTCCAAGAACAGACATAGGTGTTTCAGAGAAAATCTACTTTAAAACATGCTCAGTAATTATTCACTAATCCTTTACTCTCAGAGCTTAGTCTGCTGAATATGATACAATGTATTCTCTTGCCTATACTAATCAAACACCAGAACCAAGACTCTGAAGACATTTTACTCCAAATACTCAAAGGTCCTGGAAAAGGAGATGATTTATTTGTTATTTATAACACTAAAGGTTTAGGAGAAAGAAAGGTATTTGAACTCTGTAAAGTCAACATGGAGTGTTTAAGTTTATTATTATAATATCAATTTACTTATTTACCTATTATCTTTCTATAATGTATATGTGAAACGATAGAGAGAGAATACATACACACGCACCCACACTCCAAAATTAAATCAAATCTAATAACGAGCAGTTTCATGAATAGCTTCCTATCTTAGGATATTTTATACTTAGAAAAATGTCACTTTCAAATCATAAAGACTATGGAAAGCCACGACTACTTGAAGAAATCTGTCCTTGATCCTCATTAACTTAAAAGATCAGTATAGGTGTATATTTGAAAAGGTTGGATAACTGGTGAGGGTACTGTCATTACCTGATACTTCTCATTCAAATTTCAATTTTTTTCAAAATTTCTATTTCAGAGACTTAGGTGAGTCTGTACTGGACGACCTACGTAGGCATTTAAAATGAAAAATGAAGTATGTGTAAAAGGTAAGCATGTGATGATTTCCATATCCCATCCTTATGTGGATGATAGAAATAATTACTTCTAGACATATCATTCCACTGGGCACAGTTGGCACACGAGCGCCAGCCAGGTGTTAGATGTGATGGGAAATGTGCTGGCTGATTAGACAAACTGGAATCCAAGTGCACCAACACTCTCCCTTAAATGAAATGAAGGGTGGGAATTTAAAGATGCCATTTAATTTTTCATCTGTGGCCAACACATGCTGGTGTTTCAAGATGATTTTGTTAATCACATGGGACTATTCAGCACATGTGGTAATGAAGAGATAGAAAAATGTTTTTGTCAAACAAGGCAAAAGCTGTCCAACTCAGTTCCATTGCAA